ACTTGTGTCATGTAACAACATAACGACATACCACGATCATGATGGCTCATGGCCGTTTCACGAGCTCCACATATAACAAATTTCGCCTGACTTGACTTGACGATGAAAGTAAATTAACTGTTTAAACATGACAATGATTTTTCCATTGACCTATATATGTGGCTCATGTTAAACATGGCTACATTCTACGCTCCTAGCGTGCTCGTGGCTGTTTAGCTAGCTCCACATACACCAAATTTGGTATGAGGTGACGTGTATAAATGATGAATGTAAATGACACGCCCAAACATGATAATCATGACATGGAAGTAATGTACGGCGTAATGTATCTCCGCCTCGTCACGCTGTGCTAATTTCAAAGTGACATATCAAGGTTCCTCAATCGTGCTTCGCATATAATTGATTCCCACTGTACGTGAGATCCCATAAATTTTAAATGCGAAGCATTCCTCAGTGAACTTCGCTGACTTTGAGCGTATCCATCTATCTATCAGCCGCCTACGACTTTGAGCTCTCCTGGCTGTTTCAATAATGCTCTCGATATCAAAATTGGTTTGGCAAAACATGGTTGTATGGCGAGCATAAGTGACTAGTCATAAAATAAAAATCTGGACATGTAAGTAATAAATGTTATGCTTTATACTTCATGGACTTGCTGCTCTTGTGGTGGTTTCGTTCACTAGACATGTTGCGAAACTAGTACGGTATGACATGACTGCATGGCGAACACAAGCGACAGAGCCTAATGTGAAAATTATGACATGCGTGTAATGTAACAACATTAGTATATGCCACACTCATGATGCTCTCGCGGCCGTTTCGCTGGCTTCACATATACCAAGTTTGGTATTATGGGACGTGAATAAATGACAAAGGTATGTGGCTTGTGCAAACATAATAATCATGTAATACGTGTCATGTAAAAACATGACTAGATGCCACGCTCATGATGCACTCGCGGCCGTTTCACTAGCCTCGTATTTACAAATGTTGGTATTACGTCCCGTAAATGAATGGTGAAGGCGCGTGTCTGATGCAAACATGATAATCATGGCATAAGTGTCATGTAAAACTGGAATACATGCTACGCTTGTAGCACGCTCGCGGCCGTTTCACTAGCTCCCCGTATACCATCTTTGGTATCACGGGACGTTATTAGATTACGAAGGTAAATGGCACGTCCAAACATAATAATCATGACCTGAAAGTCATGTACAGCATGATGCATCTCTGCCTCGTAGCATTGTGCTGATTTTAAGGTGAAATGTTAAGCTTCCTCATTCTTGCTTCTCATATCATCGATTCCCACTGTACGTGGCATCTGCCATTATTTTTCAGCACGTGAACCTAGGCAAAAAACACAAGGTAGACAGGATAAGCTCTCCCTGTTTACCCTGTTCTTCATTTTCTATGTTCGCGCGCTGAAATCAAAACTATCAATTTCTGCATTTCTAGCGGGAGGTGGTGTTAAGCAACCTTCTTACATGCTGGAACCTCACGTCCACGAAACCTCTGCCAAACAGGTTGAATTTAGCTCGCAGCGGTCTGAATATTCGTTGACGGTATTTATGAAGAATTATTACGAAGCGTCCAAACTTGTCAGATAGTCATCTCAAAAAAGTTTGTCGGCCACAGAGTATCAATGATTACTCTGCTAGGTGGTTTTCGCCCTGACTAAAGGTGCGTTATTTCGGTAGCAGTTTCTGCAATATCTATGCACGTTGAAAACACAGGTTGGTCGCGATTCCTGAAGCCCTTTAAAACTGCATCCCTCAATCTCTTAACGCGTCTTTTTCAAATAAAACCGTAGCTGCTCCTAATATGTTATTTACAGCCGGGTTTTATCAGCCCAAGATCGTTATCCTATCTTTGTTCGCTAAATGACATTACATATTTCACTTTCGCTCTTCCTTTCTCTCTTTTCATTTGGACACTCTGACCCCGCCACTCGATCCCACCTGCTACATATTCTTTTCTCATGCAAGAAGTCATACTTCTCCGCAGTGCACGTAGACTGGCAATGACACTCTGCATTGATCACGAGTTTTCTTCAGCATCGTAGAAGTTTTTGTCGGATCTAACCCTTCACAGCTTCAAATTTTTCTTTTCTATCCGCCAGAAAGGGCCCATTGAAACTTCACGAACAGCCAAGTCATCAGAATATTCCTGGACTTTCCAGGTCACATTGAATCTAGAAGACTTCTACATCATCTCGCCGTTCATCACATGCGCCTTTGAACGCCTTAACACATGTGGGTGATCATTCTTCTTTACACAGCATTTACTAGAGCATACACTGCCTTAAAGAATTCGTCATCCCTTCAGGTGTAGCCTGTAACCTCAACAGATGGCGTCTGAAAACGGCTTCAAAGCGGTTGTACCTAATATTGTCACTAGATTGACACACTAGTTACTGCTGGTGACGCTGCTACAAGATTGCTATGTGCGTTGTTTGACAAGAACAAGGGCTGAATTCTTTTTAATACCTTAATACACAACCATAGTTCTGAAAGCCCACTCATGAGTATAGGCTCAAGCTGGCTCACTTAGACTCCCATTGAGCCGTGAGTCCTAGTCTGAGTTAGTCTACGTGAAAAATAATTTTGCGACTTTGGTACGAGAGAGCTCCTAGAGTAAAATATACTTCATGAGGAAGACTTTAACATTTTTCGCCCATGTATGGTCCTATGTACTTGTCATGAGTAAGCGGGCGCGATGTGTATGGCGGGCGCAGCAATGTGGCGCTGGTGTTTGGAGTCGAAGAAAAGCTGAGGGCACACGAACCGAGCCGTGGTGGAAATCACAGAGGATGAACTGGCACTGTGCTGTGAAGCTTCGAACTGCGAAGGTCAGGAAGGCTAGCGTCACTTCAGTGACGAAAGCAGTAGCAGCCCGGTACTGAAGGATGTCGGCGTAAGAGGCACGCGAAGTGGCCGTTGACCTCGGAAGTCCTGATTGCTGCCATAGATGACATATATTATTCAGAAAATCACTCCGCCTCAACATCACAATATATTTACCTAAATTTGACACATATATCCGCTGATTTATTGCCTTCCAAAGCTCACGAAGTCAATTTGATACGTAGGCTCTTATGTTCACATCTTTCATGATATGATTGTCTGGCAGTGTACGAGTACTTTCATGGATATTTATTTGCAGGTGTACGACTGTTACATTGCAGTGGGTGTTATAGCAACGTGCAGGTTCTTAGTTAATGGGTGTCCGAGCCGTCGCCCCAGACTCCCACGAAAAGACGAGGCCGTTTGTACGCCACACTTTATACACACGAAAAACGAACACACATAACATGGACAGGCTATTTAAAGAATCCTTCACTGTCTCTGTGAACTATCAAAGTCCTAAACTAACCGTCCCTCCTTTTTAACATGGACACAAGACATGAGGTCGGTCTCACCGAGGTTCGTTGCTACGTCTTGAGCTGGCTCGCGTTGTCCGCACGGTCAACCAGGCGACTAGTTGATGGGTAGGCTCCGCCCCCGCAGCCACGTCGCGGCTGGACACATCTGCTGGAGCTCGTGCCCGTAGCCCGACAGCTCCGCGTTGCTCGCCCGGTAGACGAGGCGGCAACTTGAAGGGTATACGCACCACCACCGACCACGTACAGGCCGGACACCTCCGCTGGAACTCGTGCCCGTAGCCCGACAGCTCCGCGTTGCTCGCCCGGTAGACGAGGTGGACCAGTTGGCGCGGTAGACCAGGCACTACCACCGGCCGCGTCCCGGCCGGACACCTCTGCTGGAACTCGTGCCCGTAGCCCGACAGCTCCGCGTGTCCTCAAGCACAGGATGCCTTGAAGCCGCAGCACGTCAGCGACGCACGGCCGTGGCAGGTAGAACGTGGCAGGTAGGCCGGGCTCGACTGTTACTAGGCTCGGGTCCGGAACCCAACGGCCGAGTCGAGAGCCCCGTCTTCCTCGTTCCTTCTCGTACCTTCGCCGCCACGCTACTCAGCGCTCGTGCTACCTTCGTCGTTGTCTGCTTCAAGCGCGCACTTTGTATGGCGCGCACTTTGAAGGGCGCGCACTTTGAAGCTTCGCGCACGACACATATCACAAAAGCCCCCCCTTAAATGAGTTTTTTCTTTCTTTTTTTTAAAAAAAAAAAAAAAAACTGCTGACACGTGCGCGGTCTGTAAACCCCTTCACTGTATATGTCCTCTGTATAGTTCACATGTCGAGGTCCAATATTTACTAAATACACAAGAACACCGTTAAATACACTGACATACTTTGAGTGTCCAACACCCAATATCACAGTGCTTGAAGTCCGAACTCTTGGCTCACAATCTACTCATGAAGTCCGCACCGGTATTCTCCGACCCTTTTATATGCTGAATGCTAAATGAGTATTCTTGCAATGCCAGGCTCCACCTCAGGACCCTACTGTTCAAGTGTTTGGCTCGGGCTAAGTACTGTAGAGGTTGGTGATCTGTTTGTACAACAAACTGGTTCCCATACAAAAAAATGTGAAACCTCTGTACCGCCCATACCAATGCCAAACACTCCCTCTCTATGGTAGAGTAATTCTTTTCCCGGGGCAGCAACTGGCGGCTTGCATAAGATACAGGGTGTAACAATCCGTCATGTTCCTGCAAGGGCTCTTCTGGTAGTGGATCCTCACCCCAGCCATAAGACACCGCAGGATACTTCTCTGGATCACTACCATTATGCTTGTAAGAGCTCATAAATGTATCTTCAGGGGAGGTAGAAGCAGCATGCTCCTCCAAGTGCTCTTTGTCCTCGTCTAGTTTTCCCAAGGCTATGTTTTTGCAGTCACCTCCAGCATTGGCCTCGACATTCTCTCCAAAGTCAGGAGCTGGTTCTTTCTTGGTCTTCTTTTTCCTCTTCCTGATCTTGTTTGCCATCTTGACTTTGTTTCCAGCACAACTCCATTCGCGCAAGGTTTCTTCGAGTCCATTTTCTGAGATTGCAGTAGGACAACCGTGCTCCGGGGACAAAAAAGAAAAAGACTTATGTCCTAAAAGTGATCAAAGTCATCCCATGAACAATCATCAGTAGTAGTGTTGCCCATATCCCACGAGTGGCGGCCCAATTCAACAGTCGGTTGGCCCACCTCGACTGTGTGGCAGCCCGCGTCTGCTGTGTGGCGGCCTGCGTCAGCTGTGTGGCGGCCTGCGTCAGCTGTGTGGGGGCCCGAGCCAGCTGTGTGGCGGCCCGAGCCAGCTGTGTGGCGGCCCGCACCAGCTGTGTGGCGGCCCGCGCCAGCTGTGTGACGGCCCGTGACAGCTGTATAGCGGCCTGTGTCGGCTGTGTGACGGCCCATCTCACCAGTGCGGCGGCCTCGATCTGTGCCACCTTGGTTGTAATGACGGGGCCGGCCCCCACCACCATATCCACCCCGGCTGCCGCCACGGTCTGGCCCTCCATAGCGCGAGTCATCCGAACGACGACCGCGGCCGCCACGAGGGTAGTTGCCTGAACGAGGGCCACCAGGTGACTGGCCAGTGTTGTTGCCATGATAGCTATTGGTGTACACTTTCGGAGAACGGCCATCTGAGGCACGATTATAGCCACCACCTCCCTCAAACCTTCTTCCCCTGTTCTCTTCTTTCATGGTATCATGTGAATAATACTGACTCTTGTAAACTGGACTGGATGTGACTGATTGATGGTAACCAGAATCATGGAAGTTGGAGCTTGCAATTGAAGACAATGACAGTCTCCGAGATGTATATGGGTCCCTCACATGAACCACTTGGCCAAAATTCTTGATTTCCTTTTCAATCTTCTCTTTGGTGTAAACAAACCTTGCTGTTTTGCTCAGCTCTTCATCATATTTACGTTCGACTACAAAATGCTTAATGTCATCTCGCAGTTCAGCCAAGCTCTGCTCAGAGAGTGAGGGTGCAGTATCACTACGTTCCTTCAGCTCAGCAGCCAACTTCTGCCGCTGCTCCAATACAAAACGAGCATCATTTTTCACTTTTTCCAATTCCTCCTCTACTAGAACCTGACGGTCATTCAAGACTTTATGGACTTCCGAGAAAGCAGCTTTAACTGCTTTTTCAGCTTTTGTGAGTTGTTCTTCCAGAAGAACTTGCACCCTTTGGAGTGCTACAGTCTGGCGAGAAAGATCCTTCAAGGATTTCTCAAGGCACGTCTTCTTTGGGATGGTGGTAGTACTGGAAGGAAGAGAGTTTGCTTCATGACCGTCGGTGCGTTTGATATCCGGGCTACTTTTGGAACGGCCACTGTTATGCATTGGTCTATTGCTGCTTTTAGTTTCAAACTCGCCAAAATCTTCTGGTTTATCGTCATCCTCCTGCGCAATCTTGAAGATTCGTTGGTTGATATTCAAAGCGGTTGCTTTCACCGAATCCAACGAAGTACTTGATTTCTTGACTACGCTGATCATTGGTCTCTCGTAGCGATCGGCTTTCATCACCCCTAATCTCTCCTTGACGCTTTTAGACTTCGTCTTCCTTTCCGACAGTCCCTCGCTCCACCTGCTATCTGGATCATTGGGATCACGGGATCCTGGCACGTTTCCCACGATGACGTCATACAATGGGGAAGTCATGCATTTAACGATCACCGTGCCAGAAAAATAGGGCGAAAATATCTCCACTTTTGCTTCGGGAACTTTTATTCTGCTCCCATCGGCTAAAAATACTGTCGTCATAGCTCCTGTCAGCACTTCGTCGGGCACGAGGGAACGTCGCACAACCGTCGTGTTACTTCCTGTATCCCGAAGAACAGAGACAGGCTTATCAAATAGGAGACCCTGGAGAACTGGCATCTGATATTTCGTTGCCATTTGTTGCGTGTTTACTGCCCCCGACACATTATTCTCGGACCCGCCGCCGGATGCGTTATCATTGTCTTTAGAGTTCTCTTCGGACAATATACATGAAGCCTTTTTATACGTGGCGGGTTTCTTGGTGCAAACTTGGGTATCGTGTCCTGCCCTACGACAATGCCCACAGTAAGGTTGCTTCGTCCGAGCGCGACAATCTGAGGCTTTATGGCCGATTTTGTTGCAAACAAAACATTGCACTGAAGTTTTTGAGGTCGTGCTCCCACTTTTCACAGCCATGCCGTTTTCAGCCTTTTCTCGGAAAACAAGCAGGTTAGACTGTCGCTGTGCCTCTGAAAACTGATCTGCCGCTTCAGCCATTTCTTCAAGTCTACGGCAATTCTTTTCACGCAAAAAGAGCGCCACTCGATCATGACACTTACTGATGAACTGTTCAGCTACAATCAGGTCACGAACTGACGCGTATTCTTTGTCTACTTTCGACATTTCCACCCATCGGTCGAAAAAACTCATTAATCGTGCAGCGTACTGCCGGCCGGTTTCTCCCTCTTGAGGCTTACTGTGCCGGAACTTCTCACGGTACCCTTCCGCTGTGAAGCGAAATCGCTGAAATAGAGCCAGTTTCACTTTCTCGTAATCAAGTGCATCTTCAGGGGATAGGCGACCAAACACTTTTAGCGCTTCTCCGCTTAGGCACAAACTCAGAGCCGTGGCCCACTTGTCTCTAGGCCACTCTTGTCCTGTCGCGGACGCCAGTGTTACATTGCAGGGGGTGTTATAGCAACGTGCAGGTTCTTAGTTAATGGGTGTCCGAGCCGTCGCCCCAGACTCCCACGAAAAGACGAGGCCGTTTGTACGCCACACTTTATACACACGAAAAACGAACACACATAACATGGACAGGCTATTTAAAGAATCCTTCACTGTCTCTGTGAACTATCAAAGTCCTAAACTAACCGTCCCTCCTTTTTAACATGGACACAAGACATGAGGTCGGTCTCACCGAGGTTCGTTGCTACGTCTTGAGCTGGCTCGCGTTGTCCGCACGGTCAACCAGGCGACTAGTTGATGGGTAGGCTCCGCCCCCGCAGCCACGTCGCGGCTGGACACATCTGCTGGAGCTCGTGCCCGTAGCCCGACAGCTCCGCGTTGCTCGCCCGGTAGACGAGGCGGCAACTTGAAGGGTATACGCACCACCACCGACCACGTACAGGCCGGACACCTCCGCTGGAACTCGTGCCCGTAGCCCGACAGCTCCGCGTTGCTCGCCCGGTAGACGAGGTGGACCAGTTGGCGCGGTAGACCAGGCACTACCACCGGCCGCGTCCCGGCCGGACACCTCTGCTGGAACTCGTGCCCGTAGCCCGACAGCTCCGCGTGTCCTCAAGCACAGGATGCCTTGAAGCCGCAGCACGTCAGCGACGCACGGCCGTGGCAGGTAGAACGTGGCAGGTAGGCCGGGCTCGACTGTTACTAGGCTCGGGTCCGGAACCCAACGGCCGAGTCGAGAGCCCCGTCTTCCTCGTTCCTTCTCGTACCTTCGCCGCCACGCTACTCAGCGCTCGTGCTACCTTCGTCGTTGTCTGCTTCAAGCGCGCACTTTGTATGGCGCGCACTTTGAAGGGCGCGCACTTTGAAGCTTCGCGCACGACACATATCACAACGACACTGATCTCAGCGAATTTCTGGACTAAGAAGAAGGCATAATTTTAACAGGAAGCTGAAAGTTGAAAGCAGTGCAGCTGGAGCCGCCAGAACCACCAACGCTACATGCGCCTGTGACTGCTGACGTAGTGTAATACATACATTCCAAGAGCAATGAGATGAACCTAAAGTGTGCGAACGTATAATATTTATAAATTTGTAATGAAGGAGAAAGGCAGTTAGCCAAGATATTTGAATTGACCCTGTGTGAGCATTGTAAGCACAGCAGTTTTCATCACTTCGAAGAGTACCATGCTGGCGCAGGTTTAAATAGCTCCGTAATATAAAATAACATAGCCCAGCACACAACATACAACACATACAAATTTATACAAATACACAGCCAGTTCAATTTTCTCATTGAAAAGTGTGACACTCATAGAAATTTATGTAAAGTTCGGCTGCAAAGACGTAATTTCGCATCGCGCAGAATGATTCTATGAGATGTTGAAAGCGTTCACGTTTTTGTTTATATCCGTCAATGGTCGAAAAGAGAATGTATGTGCACAGAAGAGCAGGCCATGTTGGGGTAATGATGAAAGTTATGTATGTATTCACAAACCACAAGTAGTGGGTGGTGTACAAAGGGACGTGTGTGTGGTCATTCCAGCTGTGCGACGGTGTGCTGTGACTTCTGAGATTGGTGAATTGAGCTGGACACTTTGAAAGGACCAGACAGTTCTTCATAATACAGAAAGAACAACAGTTTTCAGAGGCGTGTTTTGTAAAGTTGAAGCCTAGAGAAATGTCATTTCAAATTTAGTGCCAACAGTGTGTGATGTTTCACGTTGTACCTTTGCCACTTACACTTGCTACACACTTTAATGTAGCAGGTTTCTTTAGCAGGAAGGTTCAGCCGTGTCACTAAACTTTTTACATAGTCCATCAATGACACGGTGAAACAATTCATCCGGAGTGCAACTGAGTATGCTGTTTGACGACAACAATAATATAAAATTGCATAGGTTTATCCCCAGGCCTGTTTCTTCTGAAACAATGCATTATACCTCTGATCTTTATTATTGGATATATCACCTGTACCATAAATCTTAGCTTCTGATGACATGGTTATGGTAAATATTTCGATTGACTGCAGTTAAAATATGTTTAGAACAGTGACCCAAATATGAACACAAAGCAAAAATTGAATTTCTGTGTGGTCTCACTTGTTTTGTCTGTGCAAGATCCAGTAATATTGCTGCCCCATAGAAGAAAATCATCTAGTTTCAGATCTATCAGCAAATCACAAGTTATGTTTGTAGCATGATGTAACAATATTATTACAGAGTTATTTTAACAGAGTCGGATTGTTGTTGAGATGACTTTACTTTTACTTGCTCTTGAGGAGACAGGTTGCTTTCATCGGTCACCTTGATACTCCTAGGCATGCTGTTCAAACAGCAGAAAAAGAATCAACATTAGATCCCAAGAAGTATGCTTTTCTCACAGTCCCCAAGGATATCCTTATTAGCCTTTCTAAGGTGACAAAAAGGTCAGAAGTCTCATCAACCGGCGGTGGTCGCATTATTCAGTAGCTCAGTTTGGAAGTTTTTTTCTTATAAAGTCTAGTTACGTTGTTGCTTATAATCGTGCTCTGTTACAGTATGCTTGCCAAAGTTATTGATTGTGTGTTGTAGTGCTTTTAGGCAATACGTAACTGTTACATAGGCTGCATAAGTGACTTTTGTATCCTCCTCAATAAGTTTCCGACGCCGTTTTTCAGTGCCAGTTAGCCTACAAGGCTCAGGTCCGGTTAACCTTCCTGCTTTTTTGTCAGCCTTCTCTCCCACTTTTAACTATTTTAGGTGAGTTCAACCATGTGTCATTACGTAGCGAATATATATATTTATAGTAAGAGAAGAGGGAATGTTGTAGAATTGTGATTATTCCCGTGGTGTTTTAGTAAAAGTAACTTTTCAGGGAAATAAGAAATGTAGTCAGGAAACAAAACAGTACATTAAGCCAATAATTGGAGTGTATGAATTTAAACTAAACGTTCCTGCTTCAGGGTTTTTTGTAGAACAGTGAAGTTGGATCTTCTACATCCGCCACTAATACAATCTTCATGGCGAGCACATTATAAAATTAGAGGTATATTCACAATGTGACAGAAAAAAATGTTAAAAAGAGTGTAAGAAGATTACTTACTGTATCAGCAAAACATCTGAAAATAGCACAACTGAATCTTCTCTGCATGTATCTCTGAAGATGTGAGATGAGGTGTCATGCTTAAGGTGCGAGGAGCAGGCACGTTCAAGTCATGGATGGCATTTTTTGTGAGCTTACGACCGAATGTTACCTTAAAAGAAGTGAAAGCAACAATAGTGAAGATTATGTGGGCATAGCAGCGTTTGCTCTTTTTATAAGCAATAAGGGTTGTGGTGAAACACACAAGCATAAAAGTTACACCAAACTCGCCATGGGTTAAGCTGCATCACACCAAGATTGCAATATAGAAGCTTAGGTCTCTCATGAACACGTGATTTTTATCACTTTTTCCTTTTGCTTCCATGTACAGGTATCGGGGAAAGCTCTGCGAGGAAGCTGCTCCGCAACTTGTTTTGCACCATGCTGTTTTGAAACACTAACTCAAGTTAGTATATGTAAGTTTCAGATCCACAATATTTTTGACATAGGAGCGATATAAAAAAACTTCACCTCGTGACAATGCAGAAGCAGCGACAAAATATTTCGAGCATTCATACGCAAATGTTCTTGATATTTGTTCTGCACTTCGTAAGGCACCAGCAATCACAATTTAGGTGAACGAGGAAGGGGTAATTATCGCACTTTTTGAAAA